GCGACACCCCGCCCCGCCACTTTCACTTCCGAAAGTCGAAACAACATAACTCACTTGTGGTCGTCTGTAACATATGTAAATTCATATTTTCTTGTTTCTATATAAAACAAGTACATACCAATAACCTAATAATTAAAGGTATATACAACCAATTATGTGAACCTGGACTTGAATAGCGCGATCCGACTAAGTAGTACACAAGTTCATAATGGTATACTAACATTATCACAACTTATCTATTACATAACAAACTTGTACCATCTGTTCGTCTGTACGTAGGTAACAGAACGCTAGTCAATCACACCACCTCTTCAAACTAGACAAGCTATTGCCCGCGGCTTTACTGGCCGCGTAAAATAATTTCACTTCCTTTACTAAATTTGTTTCGGGGACACGAAAAAGTATCTTCCGGTAAATCTATGAAATATTGTCAACAAACGTTATAAAAGTCGTAATGAAATTACGACATAAAGGAAATTATGTATTACTGTGTGAATAAAATGTAAAGACATACGAATAGTAAGACGACTCTCTATAATAGGCAAATGTGTGTTATAATTTTTGACGTCATTTGAAAGCAAAAATTACCAACTAAAATTAAAAAGGTCGGGTTGCTATCAATCAATTATTATATTTATTGGACAAACTCCTTATTTACTTAACTCCATATGCTTTTTAAAACTATGACACTATTAAATGTACCCTGAGAATCGAACTCTATCAATAAACAAGAGCGTGTGACAGACGCTGAGGACTAGATTTCATCTGATCATTTATCACATTTGGTCTTGAAAGTTCTCGTCGACTTCAACCGTCTACTTTCAATCCGCAACGTGTTTAATACTTAAGTCATTGCTCGTTCACCTGATGCAAATGTACATACCTTGTCAAGATTACAGACACACTCCGACAATTTGATATTATTAAAACAAAACTTTCGATAGCAACAAAAAAATAAATTAATTAATCCTGGACTTAAATTCCTTGCTAAAGAACACTTACAAGTTTTTTTTATAAAGATACAAAGTCAAAGTGAAATTGTTAAAACACACAAACAATGTGGCGAATCGGTATTTTTATTATTAATTATGGATCTGAATTGACTTTATAATTCTGATCCCAATCTTGTTTATCGACTTTCATAAAATACACACGGTTCAGTGAGATAAAATGCATGATCTACATAGCAGGTGTTTGTTTATGATGACTGCACACGTTGTTTACTTAAATGATTAATATTATTGGAAAGATAATAAGATATCTTTATATCAAGTTAAAAGAGACAAATTTATTCACAATTTACCGTTTTGACAATTTTTAAGGATGCATTATCATCAGCGCAAGCGCTCATCAGCCTATGTCACATCTAAGAATATTTCAATAGCAAGTAACAACTCACCTATTTAACAGAGTTTCAATGAGATGCGAGGAATGTGGCAATGCCTCCACGAGCAGGTCTACGGGCAAGTCAGCGGCCACGCTCTGCAGCACGCCGGGGCCGAGCCGGGACACGATGGCCGCCGCCTCGCGGAACTGCCGGCCCTCAGCCAGCAGCAGCACCCGCCGCAGCGCCAGACGAGGAGAGGTATATGTGTTCTTCTCCCTCTCTCTCTCGCGACGAATTCGCTCTCGACTTTCGTTCATTTCGATCGACTTGTAGCACTAGCCCATGATACTCAACTGACGAGAAGTATATAGTACCTGTAAACAAGTAATATATTAGTAATTTTCAAAGCCATGAACGGTGTAGGTACCTATGTTGTAGGTCAATTGTGTAATAACTTAGAAAATAGATAACTCTATACTTGTTAGTAAAAGAAAGATTTGATTGTTGGTTATTTCCATTGACTAGGCTCCCGAACTAATAAAACGATTAAAAATATTACTGTTGGGAAACTACATTATCTCCGGGTGCCATAGGCCATATTCATTACTTGATTTTTTAATACCGCCCGAACGAAGTCGCGGGCAACTGCATGTTTTTGATAAACATGAAGTAGCAATATTACATAACAAGTCACCGAAAAACAGCTTTAAATGTCACTTATGTAACACATGTAATGTACAATGAGGCGCAAATTAAAGTGAAGTGATTAGTGAGAAGTTATTTAACATGCGCACACGCAGTTTCCGGTGAAAGGTCGGACCAGACATCTCGGCAAAAACAACTTGTCAAGACTTGATCGAAAGCGAGGAATTAATTTGAGAGCAATTATACAGAAAAACGGCTACAAAAATATTGTCTCCGTGAATTTTATTCTCGAGTATTACCGACTACAATTTCGAAAACCGAAAATCTAAGAGAAAAATCTAGATAGACTAACCGCTGGTTTCTGAGTCCACAATCTCTGTACAAAACATTTCATCTCGGTTATTATCTTGACCAAAACAGAGATTAATAAGTTTAAACGGAGATTCTGATTTCAGAAACCCACGGTGAAACATTCAAGATGTATAATACGGCTGTGCTATATTTAGTAACAATGACATCCAGTTTAATGCAACCACAAATCTATTTAGCACAGTGACTTGCAATGCTTGCGACATCTACTGCGCAGATGTCAACAACAACCACATGTCATGTTGTGCGGTTTATCAGATATTTGTTGCAAGTAAATAATTTTAACATCGCATTTATGTCAACGACCACTTAGGAATGGGGACTTTAATAACCTTAAGGTGAATATACATTAGAGTATTTCCATGTAATGTAACGTCCTTACGAATTATATAATAAAGGCATAATCAAAGTTTCCGAAGCCCGTGTGGTTTGTTTAAAGGTGATACACTAAACATATGGAAATGCGGCTGCTTGTGCTGTTACAAGTAAATGCGCTAGTCTATACTTACCCTTGAGTCACTGACACATTGAGTTACTTAGACAAATTACAAAAAAGGTCTCAAGACGTTACATGACTTATTTTATTTCATCAATATATAACTATTGCAAATATGAAATGCTAGTCAAAGTGTTAAAAGCAAACTTAATATCTTTATGAATTTTCAAACATGTAACAATAGCTATTTCCTTTTCTCTCTATTTACTGTATATATGTCTGTATAGTCTACGAATACTTAATTTCTTTGGAAACATAAAACTATCATTAAAATTATATTAAATTAATAAAAAATAATTCGCTGTATTTCTGTTGAGATTCGTCTGGAACACTTAAGTTGCATATATTTCGATAATCACCTCAACCGTTACCAATCGAATTGAAACGGTACAACTATTGTCACTGGCAGTCAGACTGACCGACAATAGCGGACCATTACCGCTCACAACTTAATGACCGTCCGGTACTGAGAGCGGATGGTGCATGTTATAAGCGGAAGCGATTATGAAACTCGGAAAAGATTTCCATTTATTTTATATAATTCGTTGCAGACGAAAACATCTCTAAGTCACAATAATAAACAGACCAAGCATTCATTGATTTTTTTAGATTTTTAGAGCACAAATATTATCTGGAGAAGTTAGAACATGCTACTATAAATTCATCAAAATCTGTAGCTTGGTTTAGCTGGTGGGCGACATACATACATACGTCGATTTCTATTACGTTATAGAGATAAGTTTTTCTTATTAAAAAATATATATTTTGGACGTCAATTAAGTAAATCGCTTATACCTTACCCCATACAAATCTCGAATTATTCAATACCATAACTGTTTCCATTATTATCTCGGATGATTTGCAACAGCGGACACGTCGCTAATCCATAACGTAGTAGATATCAATTTTTTCATCATACTTCTATATGTAATTATTTAACACTGTGACAGTATACTATCTAATTTAATGTCTAAATATGAAGCGAGAGAGCTTCTGTAAAGCTTTGAACATTATAATTAAGCCTTTATTATTCCTAGTTTGGGGAGCAACGAACGAGTAACGGAGAGTAACGAGTGGAAAGTAAAGAAAAAATATTTTTATAGCCTTATTATTTTTATTATAATTTGACCTTGGCCTTTGTTTAGAATTATTAAAAAAAAACGTCAAATATTCATAACTATAAGTCATTTTTAAATTGTACATTTTAATGTTATTCGACGCGATCTTTGCATTATTTTGCAGTTAAATTTGCTTACTAAATCAAGTGAAATGTGGCCAATTTTACTGTGCGTTTATTAACATATACGGATATTCGCCAACAACAAACCAATTTTAATTTATTTCGTATAAAATAATTGACTTTAATATATTTCTAGCATAAATCATTATGGCTTTGAAAAATAACGATTTTTTTGTAGAATTAAATCGAATCTTAAGCACAGATGTAGGTAATTAATTGTGTTTATAAAGCTATGTCTAGTTTGCTAAGTAATTTTAACTTTTTAAATTTACTTTAAAACCAAAAACATTTAATCATCTCTTTCTTTATTTGATCACAGAATAAACTAAAAGAAAGATGGCAATAAAAATGATGAAATTAAAATAAAGGAGCTTCGTCAATGAACTGTAAAAAATGTAAAGTAAATATGGTCCTTTCAACTTTGTTACTAAATGACACACATCGTGATGCTGCACATATCTGAGAAGAAATTCAAAGATATGTGTGAAGTCAACTCGCACTAGACTAGCGTGGTTGACTATGATCTAGTCACCCCTAACTTAGGGTAGACATCGAACCCCTCAGTGATCTGATAAATCACTCATTAACCGTATCACGTGCAATAAGTAGAAGAACTATTCAGATCAAAAAACCGATATAACAAAAAATCCTTTGTTTGAATAGCCGAGTAACTGCAATGAGCATCTAATTCACACAACAGCGAGTTCACAGTTAGTACGTCTGTTTGTTTGTTGCGAGCCGTTACTCTCCCATGTTATACATACATACATACATACATGCAGCTAACGGACCGCCACCAATAAATTACTTATTGACACGTTATTGCTATTTGCAAGTTCACATTGCGTTGTTACAATCAAAAACTGTACATTTATCATTCTAGACATAGGACCTAATTGATAACCTTGAGAAACTCCATAATTCCATGCAACATTGCTTATTCTAGTAGGAATATTCAGTTAAATAATGAAATACATTAATCTATTTTTCGCATATAACTGATAGTATCAGCTCGGTAAGTCACTAAACAAATTAATTATATTTACTTTTTTTTGTTAAGAATAAGGACATTGTATCTTCTCCAAAATTGCAGTCGAACATCGAAACTAGAAGATATGTGCGACGTCCCACTTGCCCACCTGTTTTGCAAGCCGTGAGAATTTCACCCGCTCCTCGGAGACGGCGACGCTCTCTACGCAAGATTTAAAACCCACCGCGAGCTATAATATAACTACTTTTTGCGATGTCGATGCGGGGAATTAACTTTATGGGGGTTTACATCGATTACTACTTTCACGGTGGACATTTTATACTGACACTCGGTAGATATTTCAAGGATAGTTAACTTTTTTTAATTTTACTTCTTAATATTTCATATCTTATTCCGTGTTTAAACTAAGATGAAGGTTTAAGCTAGGGTATAGTTTACAATACTAGTCAAATACAGAATTAAACCCATGACCAAGTGCTCGGTAGTCGTAGCTTTAAACACTAGGCTATTGGCTATTATTATTATAATAATTATGAAAACACAGATCTAAAGGAGACCGGTTAATATATTATTAATTACATACCGGATTATATTTAGGTTTATCTGAATTTGTAAGACATTGAGCTATAGAGGCAACTATTTCTACCGTCTATTTGTAAAACAGTTATAGAAATAAATTAAAAAAAAACTACTTCCGTTGACCGAAAACAAAAACATCGTAAAGATACTTTGTACAAATTGCTGATATTCTTTGATGCAGAAAATGGGTCGACAGTTTTACAAAGATTGTTGAATTATAGTTTATTTATTTCCACGATTACTGATATTTTGATAATTTAATTTTGTTTTTATTATATTTTGTACCACAAAGTAAATAGAACTATTGAAATTCATTCAATGATATTACTGAGTGTGAAGTGTGTGAAAGCCATAACTTGATAAAGTTAAAAATTAACATTTTTCATAACTTATAAGTTTTTATGTATTAATAGAGATTTTCAGAGTTTCATCCAATTCAAATAAATAACATAATATATAGTCGAACCATTTCACTTTTCTTTATTTAAATTTATTAGTAAAATTTAACCGGTTTTTAATATTATTTACATAAAGTTTGTCAGAAAGCGACAGCGTTTACAAATTAAATATTAATGAAGTAAACAAAACCGGTGTACAAAGTAGTGCAAGAGGAATAGAGACAGTAACCAATGATAACAAACATTCATAAATATTTAAATGCATACTAGATATTTTTCTGATAGATAGTCTGTATGTATATTAGAAAAAACACAACGTTTAAAGATCAACTATTTTAAAGTATTTATTGTAATAGCATTTTATTTTATGATTCACAATAACATTTTAATTAGTAAAGTTCACATTACGATTACCAAAACTAAGCAACAATTCTATAAAGTTTTAAACTTGTCTAATTATGAATCGTAATTAAAATAAGTATCCGCAACCTCGACACAGAATGCGAACAAAGCAAACATTACTAAATATTTCAATCGTTTACGTTAAGAAATTTTTGTTTTACCAATGCTTCTTTACCATGATTGCCGCGATACTTGTATTATATCGTTGTTGCTACATTTTCAAAGAAAACGTAAGAGATGACAATATGTTTTATATAAACGTGTTCACAATGTTCTAATATCTCATTTATACTATAATGAAATTAATCGTCGACTAGAAATGTTTACATCTGTAGAGCGATAAATGGAAATCCGTCTTCTCTGCCTATCCCTCTTAATTATAAGGGTGATGTGGAGTAGTTATTATAAAATAAGTCTTATATTATTGTATCGGGTTCTCTTTATGAAAAACGTAGAGTATTTATATGTATCAATTCAAATTCCTGATATTATGTAGAGATGGATAATGATACCCTAATGGGTAAGAGATAGACCCTGGTAGGTGTTTACATATATACTAAATGTTATAATGATACTATATACAATAATATTATATACAAAACTTACCAAAGAAACCAAATAAATCCGAAAGAAACGCGATATTTTCACATAAATGATCACAACAGATGTATATAACACAATGTCCGCACACAACACTAATGTATCTGTTGTTTTGTCCTTAATTAATAAGCTTTAATAATAATTATTGTCATAATAACGAATGATAACGTGTAAAATAATAACCAAAGCAAGGCACGTCCGCAACACGCGCACTCTCCGCAACGAATGCGCTGATGAGATGTGAGCTTAGGTCATTTGCCGTGAAAGCTTGCGGGGACGGCGCTATGCAACAGTAAAGCAACAAATTCCTTACGTATCGAGACACTAGACAGTGCGGCGCGGCGCGTATACCTAATTTTATATATAGAAAGTAGTAAAGTATCGTCAGATTATAAATAAAATAGAATCAACCTCTTTCAATTGAGAAATTAGTATATTCCACCGAAGAACAGGAGTATCACGCAATCAAGTTATTGCGATTCTGTCGATTCAATGAGCCTAATGAACTTTTTCAATTTTCTCCATTATTAGATTAAATATACAAGAATATTGTTCCATATACTAATAATTTATTTTTATTGCAAAGAGAGGGTTCGAGTTTTAATTTAATTTCCAATAACACGTAAGTTGTATAAGATGCACGATATATCTGGGTTTCAGGATGTCTTACTCAAGCAAAACCAAATATTATATTCACTGCTTTATTTTCACTTTTGCCACAACCTTCCACTTCAACCGCTCGATGCCGAATGTCCAACCGACCTCCTTCTACCTCCCAGCTCTCGATAAATTATCCGTCCCTCTCCCCGACAGCTTAAAGTGTTGCCCGTACAATTAACGAACCCTAATATTAGGGAACCCTAACATTCGACCATCCTGACATCGTGTGCGTCCCTGCACACGGTACCCGGTGGAACCCTAACATTCGGAATTTGGTCAGTTGAACAAACTTCACAATTTTTCAGAATGAATTCGAATAAATACAATATAATAACACAAATAGTACTTTGACATGGTTTACATTTGTAGTGATTATTTAGAAGTATTTTAAATTATAATATTAAACACAAATTTACTTTATTTCATTGATTATTAAAAAAAAAATTATACATTACTTATTGTTAATATGTAATATTTAACATAATTATTTAGTTTGTAAGGATGTACATACTTCTACAGAAAAAGTAACTTCAATTAGGCATCGACACATAGAAATCATTTACATTTAATGCTTATTTTCGTGACTAAGTACTAAATTAACCATAGGGAAGGTATATATCACAACGATCGATTCGTTGTGATATCTCTTAAGAACTTAAATCCCAACGATCGATTAATTGGGATATCTGGTGATCGACGATCGATTAGTCGATATACTTCAAAGATTACCTCAACGATCGATTAATCGAGGTATACTTTGCTAACCATTCGCTCAAGCCGATCGATTAAGCAAGAGGAACGAGTAGCTCTGTCACAGCAGATCGGATGCGAACCAATCGATTCTCGCATCCGATTTCAAAGATCGATTAATAGTGGGTCACTGATAAACATTCTCTCAAGCCGATCGATTAAGCAAGAGGAACGAGCAGCTGATCAGACACGAACCAATCGATTCTCGCGTCCAATCTGAAACAAATAAACCCTTCTGTAGTTACATGCCTCTCAAGGTACAACAAAACATAAATTAAAATATTTCTAGTCATCATCTGTGTCAGAAGCAGTATCAGAGTTTTCGTTTATATCCAATGCAGCCACGTGGATCCAAGGTCTCATGCGATCGGCGGCAACAGTAGTTGAGCGCTTACCTTGTGTATTACATAAACCGGGTACCGGAGCTACTACATATCGATCAGTACCCAATATCTTTGTAACGCGATAAGGCCCGATATACGATGGCATGAGTTTCTTACTTTGACCTTCATTATAAAAGCAAGTTTTAGTAATTTTAACAAGGTCGCCTTCCGCGTATGCGCGCGCCGGTTTCCTACCTTTATCATAATACCGTTTTTGCTTAGTCTGTTCATTGTCTGTCCTACTCTTAACTTCTTGGCGTATAGTGGTTAAATCCGTGGATTCGCGGGTTTCATCGGAAATCTCATTAAGTATGGGGTTTGCTGAAACATTCATAGAGGTACCAAACATAACTTCGGCTGGTGTCTTGCCAGTCGTTTTTTGTATAGTGTTGTTTAGTCCCCACTGAATCTTTCCTAAATGGCAATCCCATTCTTTCTCGCCATATTTTACACTGAAAGCCTTCATGGAGTCGAGAATTGTACGGTTATACCTCTCTACTTGACCGTTTGAACGGGGACTAGAGACAGCATTGAGTACATGTTTAATGCCTTCATTTAGACAAAATCTCCTAAACATGTGTGATGTGAAGCAGCTGCCGCGATCACTCACGAGGCGATTAGGCGTTCTAAAAATCCTAAATATATCCTCTAGTACCCTTATTACGTTTTGAGTGTGCGTATTTCGAACCGGTCTGACAAAACAAAACTTTGTAAAAGCGTCAATGACTACTAATAGGTAAGAAAAACCTCGCTTGGATTTCACAAAGGGTCCGAGATGGTCAATATGGAGTGTATGAAAAGGTACCTCTACTTTTGTTATAGGGTAAAGAAAACCTTCCTTACCACTTTGATTATTTTTAGCGTATGCACATTCTATACAGGCGTTTACGTATTTTTTAACGAATCGTGTCATTTTTGGGAACCAATAGCTTTTCTTTAACCGTTCCAAAGTCTTTTCAACTCCAAAATGACCGATATCGTCGTGATTCATTCGACATAATTGCCATCTCGCACCCTTAGGTACTACCCAACGCACATTTTTCTTGTCTTCACCTACATAACGGAATAATTTATTGTCCTTAACAACGTAATTTTCTTTGATATATTGCAAGCTTTTCTGATCTAGACTACTATCCAAAATATCCCTAACCCTCCTAAGTTCTGAATCTCCAAGTTGGAGTGTATGTAACCAGTCATCATTTGAAATGGCCATAACGGCTGGAAGATTATCAGATTGATCCTCATCAGACTCAACAACAGGATTACGGGATAGCGCGTCGACATGACCCATTTTTGTGCCCGCCCTATATTCGATTGTGCAATTAAATTCTTGTAATTGTAGCCACCAGCGCGCTATCCGAGGTATAAGATCCCGTTTAGTGAAAGTGGACCGAAGAGCACTGCAATCTGTAACAATTTTAAAGTCCTTTCCTAGCAAATAAACTCGAAACTTTCGGAGGGAACAAATTACTGCTAAGGTTTCCAGTTCATATGAGTGGAAGTTCTTCTCTTCCGGCGATGTTTGCCTGCTATAGTATGCGACCGGTCGCACTGTGCTATCCGCCGAACGCTGAAGCAGGATGCCTCCAATACCCACCCTACTGGCGTCAGTGTGCAGCTCAAGCTCAGCTAATGGATCGAAAATTGCGAGAATAGGTCTATTTATCAATTTAGCTTTCAAATCCTGAAAAGCAGTTTCCTGATCATTGCCCCATTCCCATGATACACCCTTCTTTAACAATTTGCTAAGTGGGAAAGCTATCGAAGCAAAATCTTTGACGAATTTTCGGAAGTAGCTAACTAGCCCTAAGAATTGACGAACATTGTGTACATTTTCAGGACGCGGGCAATTTTGAACACTAAAGATCTTTTTCTCACCAGGCCTTACACCTGATGCTCCGATTTCATAACCGAGATAGTCGATTTTATCGCACAGAAAATCACATTTTGACAGATTTAAAGTAAGATTCGCTTTTTCTAGCAATTGCAATACGTCCTCAAAGTTTTTCAGACATTCCGAGGAGGTTTTACCGAAAATTAGAATATCGTCCATATAAGCGGTTGCCTTACAGAAACGAGCTGACCCTAGAATTGTATTGATCATGCGCTGAAATACAGCAGGCGCGTTAGCCAATCCGAACGGCATGCGATTAAACTCGTATTGGCCGTCGGGCGTAACAAATGAAGTAAACCGTTTGCTTTGCTCCACGATTGGTACTTGGTAATAACCTGACGCAAGGTCTAAAGAAATAAAACAAGCCTGACCAGAAAGACGAGCTATCTCATCTTCAATGATTGGCATTGGATATCTCTCCTTAAGAGTTACAGAGTTTAGCATTCGATAATCTATACACATTCTAAGAGATCCATCTTTCTTGCGTACAAGCAAAATAGGACTAGCGTATTCAGAAGATGATTCGCGCACTATACCTGCTTCTAACATCTCATTCACCATTGAGCGCACCTGCGTGCGCTCATGATGTGACAATCGATACGGACGGTACACCACGGGACGTTGACTGCTAAGTTCTATTTTCATTTGAGCAACATTAGTACAACCTAGATCCTTTAAGGATGACGCAAAACAATGCTTATACTTTTTGAGCAAACAAAGCAATCGATTCCTAGTATCATCGGGTACCTTTTGGCAAATGCGAACCTGACTTTCATCGAACTTATTACCGGCAGACTCACTCATTTGTTCAAGTGTATCAACGACAACCCTATTAACTAAATAGACCTTTTCAGCTCTACTAATGACAGTATCCTTCGGAATCAAACAGAAACTATCATGGGGAATCACAAATATATTTACACAGCCATTTGTCGCATTATAAAGTCCACCGCAAACTGAAAATTGCTGATTGGGTTTTCCTGCAACACTATTTCTCACAAGAATACTGCTACTTAAGGTAGGATCAACACTAGCTCTAATCGAAGCAGGACCCCAAAATTGGACAGCTCCTAAAGCACGAATCTTTAAACAGTTTCCACTTTCAATGTCAATATCAGAAAAGGGCAATTTATCGCAGTTGTCAAAGAATTTTAATTCAGAAACATTTTTATAAGCAACTATATGGGGAAGTTCCGTAAAGGTTTGACCAATTAGCAAGGGTTTTTCCAAGAAATCGTCACAGACTACCTTACAAATAACTCTGGCTTTGACATCGTCTATACTCAAGTCGAGCGCTAGCTCTCCAAGAGATTGCACAACACTATTACCGAAGCCTTTCATTTGAGAGGACGTGTTATCGTAAAACAAGCCTAACTCCTCGGTTACTGACTCCTTAATCAAAGTAACCTCACTTCCAAAATCTATGAATCCCTGTAGGGACACCCCATTAACAATAACCTCTTTTATAAATTTGGAGTTTGAGCCTTGAGTGCAGTGTTCGACAGAATCTATGCGCATTGTTTTTGAAACTGTAGCGTTAGTATTTGTCGGCTTTTCCCCTGACTTGCTAAAACAGGTATCTAACGTATGACCGATTTTATTGCATCGTTGGCACTTTAAGATAGGTTTAGGACAATGTAGAAAACTATGGCCTTTCTCCTTACAATTATAGCAACCTATGGGTTGAACCGATCTAACTATAACCTTATGTGCTTGGTTCTGATTATAACTCTGATATGTATTATCTAAAAGTTTATTACGAAATTGACCACGATCCGCGGAAGGCTGATGAGTATCTTTATTGCTTATTAAGAACTGCAAAAGTTGATCAGGGTGACTGCAACGTAATGCTAAGGCACCTGATCTAAGCGTCCTATCTGACAAGCCGTGAATAACGCAGTCCACGGCACGCTTTCCTACTATATCGCATTGAGTTACTAGAGCAAGCTTTTCGTAATAATAAACCTCAATAGGCTCATTAAACTTACTTTTTCTTTTTAGCATATCCTCCAAGGTCTGGCCGTAATTTTGTTCACAAGGAAATGCATTTATCAATTTATCCTGCCATTCGTTCCAGCTAAAGAGAATGGAATTCAAACTTTCGTACCAAATTTTAGCCAGTCCTTGGAGTTTCTGCATGGCAAAGTGAGTGGTAGTTCTATCGTCCCAACCATATACGGATGCACATTCATTGACCTTTTTAAGCCATATATCAACACGTTGATTTTTAGTTGATGGATCAAAATTAGGCAATATATTTTGGTGGTCTATCTTTTGTGACGACTGTGCATTTTGTTTATATGGCTGTGACGACAGATCCTCCTTAAGCAATTTTAAAAAATTAAGAAAATCGTTCTTAGAAAAAGATGAACTACGTGACCTCATATTTTCTCCTGCATTGATATGTTGGTCGACCCGTTGCTCTGCCCGGCGCTCAGCTTCCTGATGAACGGAGGGCTCGTGATGCTTGCCGACACGTAGCTCTGCCCGACGCTCGGCTTCCCGATGAACGGAGGGCTCGTGATGCTCGCTGACACGAAGCTCTGCCCGACGTCCGGACGGCTCGCGACGCTCGCTGTCACGAAGCTCTCCGCAATGCTCGCCGACACGTAGATCTGTCCGACGCTCGGCATCCCGACGTCCAGAGGGCTTGCGACGCTCGCTGACACGTAGCTCAGCACGACGCTCAGCTTCCCGACGTCCAGAGGGCTCGCGGTGCTCGCTGACACGTAGCTCCACACGGCACTCGGCTTCCCGACGTCCGGAGGGCTCGCGGCGCTCGATACTACGTAGCTCCGCACGGCACCCGGCTTCCCGACGTTCGGAGGACTCCCGACGCTCGCTTCCACGCCGTGACGTCGATCGACGGCGGTTGTCCGTCGCACGAAGTCGTTCACGCTCTCGGCGTAACTCTTGCTCCAACATCTGTACTCTCTGACGGCCCAAGTGGAAATCTTGTCCGTCTCGGCTGCGCACACTTTGGCCGCTCCGACTTCGTGAGCGATCCTCTCGACTCGGTGTCTCCAGTCTATGCCGCCTGGAGTCTCGATTTGAGCGTCCCGGTGGCTCGTCCATGATCTAGGCACTCGCAGAAAAGAAGGTGTGTTAATAACAGTTTCTTAAAATATGGTGAAAAAAAATAATAATAATATAGCATCATATCTCCGATTCGGGGCATAACTACTGTGTAATATACTTGAAAACTCCAGACTTATTATTATTAGAATTATAAATTTATACAAAATAATTTATATTAAATATGTATGAAAACGTTAAATCGATAAAAACATACTGTAGGTACAACACAATACAACACTACTTAGCGCCGCCGTTTAGATAAGTTTTAACATTGTTTATCTTACTACCCTTGTTCAACGCATGTTCATTCGCTACGAAATACGTTTTAAACTACCATTGATTTCAATAGCATCATTAACTTTAATCAAATTGTAGTTCTAAATAAAACTATAATTTAATATGCACAGGTAAACACATTAAGAAATATAATACGAGTATAAGTCAGAATGATAATAGCCATGGGCGTGTACTTACGTTTTAAGTTTGGTTGGCGTGTCACTTCTGATATATAAGATGCACGATATATCTGGGTTTCAGGATGTCTTACTCAAGCAAAACCAAATATTATATTCACTGCTTTATTTTCACTTTTGCCACAACCTTCCACTTCAACCGCTCGATGCCGAATGTCCAACCGACCTCCTTCTACCTCCCAGCTCTCGATAAATTATCCGTCCCTCTCCCCGACAGCTTAAAGTGTTGCCCGTACAATTAACGAACCCTAATATTAGGGAACCCTAACATTTGATAGTGACATGTGGCATATCACCGTCCTGCAACAGGTGGTAATCAGGCAGCAGCGCGCTGTGACCGCGGCCGAGCCAGCGAGTTCTATTCCCGTGACCAATGGATTACTTACCATTTACTACTCAGTCTGCAGAAGCAAGACGCTGCGCTCTGGGCACTGAATCTGAGCGCTGGACTCCCATTGGACATCCACCACGACTACACCGACTCAATGTTCACTTATATTGTAAACGCAGTCAATACATGACAAATGATATTGGTTGACGAGATCTAGGTTTATTGACAGTAATTTGGATATGTCACCTTACCTTAATTATAGTTAATATGGTGACGAAAACGTATTTAATTCTTACTTACTACAGACTCGTACTTTTGAATTAAGTTTTCTTCAGTTACGTAACATGAAAATAATATTATAGTTAGGAAAATTAAATGAAACAATGTTATTTATTATGCCAAGGTTTGTAACAAAGATATTTTTTTGTGTTGAAGGATCAGGAAGAATTTCTTAATTATTTTATATTATATTTTAATTGTATCATTAAAAATTCTCGACCTTCGTGCGAGGTTAATTAGTGCGAGAGAAGCACCAAATAATATATGTTCCTACTCGTACACCGGCACGCTTCCGACGATAAGAAATTAATACTGTTTGTATTATTACATTGAAATAACAGAGTTAGTGGTTAGAGTATGCAGAGTCTCAGATTCGAATCCTCAAACTACAGAGTCGCCCTCTAATTAATTTCATTTTTGGTTACCCTAATAGTAAACAACTAACATGCTAGACTCTTCAGTCTAATGGGTTCGTTAGTTTTTTTTAAGTATATTGCAAAGATTGTTTTTACTCTGTGTTATGGCGTAACATCGTGATCTGCCGTGGTACGAAGGAGTTTGCCCAGCACTTGATTATATCTGTTATGATTGCTTCACTCATCAATTTGTTTGTTGTCCTGCTTTCCAACATGCCGATGTATATTTATTATCTATGTTAAAAATGTCCTATGTAACAAATACAATATTTATGTTATTGTTTTATCTGCTTCATGTTGTCTGTACTGACAGGACAGTCACAAAAATATGTTGCCATTTTAATTCAAAGTTTGATAGAGATAGCATTAGTTATGTTATCTCGGTCACTAACACACAAAGATATGTTTTGTAAAGTAGGATTTAAAAATTATCGTGAGAATAATTTAAATATTGTTTTCAAATATCGACAGTTAAAATACACACCATGTTAGTTTATCAATACTAACTTAAGAACAACTTATTGCATAACAAAGTGAATTTACTTTCGTTTTTAATCAAAACTGTAAAACGAGCAGCACCTTACAGTTTGCCGCTGCTTGTGTAACTCATTTAAAAATGCTACAACTAGTTATTGACAAAATTTATTTATGGGTTCCGTAGTAATAAATTATGATAGATCAGTAATTAGAAAATGATACTTCAATTTTGTTGTAAATGTAATCTGTAATGGTTACTAAAATGTCAAAATAACACTTGTAGAATACAAACTAGAACTCACTGTTTTCTTTTTCTGGCAATGAAATAGTTGACAGTATGATAGTGTTTCGGCAGTGGAAATGCACACTTATTGTGCATGCAGACACGGCAGAGCAATGATCTGATACTGCCAGTTTCTGCATCTTGATAGCACATTACTATGAACACACATATCATGTTTAACTCTAGACCAAATTGACCGAACAGTAAACTACGAACTTGCAATTTGAAAATCAATGTTGATGAAAAAAAGACTACAGAATTTTTAGAGAATATTCTTTTTTCTATGTAGAGAATCGATAGCTGTCCTTACCTAATAATACTCCAGTATCAGTTTCAGCAAATCATCATAACGCAATGTTCGTGTTGCAATTGTCAACGCCACCTTTCGAAAAGTTAAGTAAAAATGATAAACGATATAGAATGATGAGATAAATCACTTTAACTTAAAACTTAAAAAAAAACTAAATATAAAGTTACTTGACAATATCATCATTATCTCTAATTTAAACTCTGAGATTAGAGATTTCTGTGTTAAGTAGGTATATAAAAAAGGTTTTAATGTTACTGACCCCTAAATTAAATAAAGAACGAGTTTCTGGCGCATTCGGGATGTGAGGCGCGCTTTCTCCGGCCCAAAGAGCCTTCATCTGGCCGCACGAGAAGCACGAGGGAGTGTTCATCAGACGTCATTATACTGCGGGTGCGGCAGAATTGCCTTTGTATTTTGAATACGTAAAGGAAGCGACTATTTAATATGCATCGTAAATATTACGCAAGAAATACAGGCGCTACTACCAAAGACATATCAAGAGTGATACGTGCCTTTTCTTTATCTTTTCTGAATACGCCTAAAAAGCGAAGCACACTGGTGCGATGAAACGCGGGATTGCTTTTACGTCACGTGTGTCTTCTGTGTGGTGGTGGTATTACACCGGGAGAGTCCACCAATTCGTGCAATGATTGTTGTTGTTGCCGGCGTCTACCACATATACCTCTTCCTACCTCCGTATATTTAAGTATATAGGGGGATATCTTCACATCCTAGTCTAAATGTCACTAATCAGTCACAGCCCAAGTGCACTGTTTGTCCCGCAACGTCCTTCATTGTTTTTGACCTCAACAATATTTGTTTATAATTATTTCCATAATCGGATCATAGCAAAATAATTTTCTGTTGAATTGAGCCACATCTGAGTAAATTGGAAAGCATGTCAACAGCATTCTGTCAATAAACCCTGTCGTAGTTTTTGTTATTATTTACTTAACTCATTGGCTTTACATACCTATTAGTTATTAAATTATCATCATCCATTTACTTATGATTAACTTTAATATGCATGTTTAATAAACATTGAGGAAACATTGCCTTCTCAAAGAATAACAACTATGACTAATTAAACAAACATCACTACACACAAATGATTGCGCTGCATCCGAAGGCAACGCCATCTATCGAGCTTAATTCCCTTCAGAATCGCGTGAACATCAAAAAAAGCAGTAAGCAACGCTCATTGACACATACAATGTAATGGGATATTTAATCTATCAGTCTGCTTTTCCCAAATGTCAAGACAATGAAGTAACTCAAGTGAGGAGACATGTGTCGGTGACAAGCTCGCCACCTGTCGCCGTGCAGGTGAAAGTGACGCACGACAATTAATTAAAATAATAATTATGGTCGCATTGACGCGGTGCAGTGAAAGGGATAGAGGCGGTAAGCTCTCAGCGCACTCGCCGAATTCGGCGCGACCGGTTGACGCCCGACCGTCTCATCGACGACATGCAACTGACTATGAACATTAAGTTTTGGTTTATTCATAAAAAGAAACGCCGAGTACATTATATTTCATTTTTATTTATTATTTACATTATTATTAAATTATTATTATTATTATTCTAAAACTGAAATAAAAAAGTTTAAAAAATTGCACAAGGGCATGGCGTCGTTTGAAGGATTTAAGGCGCCGCTGTGTCCGGCAGGCGTACGGCGCGGGAGCGCGGCAGCCGGCTCGCCGGACCCAGCGTCTGGACACGACTACTGCAAATCCCCACAAACGGCCACGATGCCATGTTACCAGCGAAGTGCAATGCCTAATATTCTCTTTCACTTAACCTACGTGCCCAGACCTGGTCCTGGAAAGCGACGTCTTCCAAGACCCCATCTGGCTAACCTATGACTTACGAATAGCCTTATTCTGGATATACGCACAAACAAAGATGGTTTCACCGAGCACACGGCATTCGGCAATATATACATCCCTCTGCCGCCTCGTACGGCTTGCCCGGGAGGATAAGCAGCTGTTGCATTCTTTTTAAATCCCACAACAGCACGGGATTGGGAGCTGGACCTAGTGAGTCGCGCTAACGTCGGAGGCGCGCGCTGCGGGAGACGCCAGCGGTCGCCGCTCGTCCACGAGAGTAGAGACGCGGCTCGCGAGCTAGAACATGGCATCGTAAGAAGCCAGTCGCGCCCCCTGACGGCCGCGAGGCCGAGTGCAAGCGGCGTGGAGCAAGAGACGGCCGCAACCCGAGCACCACACCTCTCCGACGTCAGCGCGACTTACAAAGATCGGTGGAGCGGCCCCCAGAGTTCCCTTAGTCGCCTCTTACGACACCCACGGGAGGACATGGGGTGGCGGCATTCTATCGCCGGCGCCACACGGCGCCCTATCGCTATCTCCTATTTATTTATTTTAAACTATTTTCACAGGTCGATATTATTATTATTCAACATAAAGAAAGTAAAGTAAATAATGTCTGTTGACCCACGTAGAAATGGCATGCGATCCGCGGAGGGTGACGTTTCTTGTTAATGTTCATTCGCTGACAGTGATTGTCAGCTGTTTGCTTCGACTCGTCTCGAAGCGGTCCATTGTCTTGATATCCATGATCATGCAGATAGACAAGGCCAGCCCGAGCACCAGGATGCATGACACCATCAGACCCGACCTGAAACAGCTCACTTTTAATTCTACGTCATTGCTAGCATCCCAGCATGCTATACTGCATGCATACTATCTACCACGTAATTAATATCAAAATACCTTAACACGAGCAATTTTGGTCTTTTCCAATTTTACAAATAACTTTCCTCGTATTTAACACTATTCTACTTTTAGCATGTAAGAGTTGCTAATGTTATATTGAATATAATATGTATATAATATGTAATATTATATTATCTTAATTTTTCCTATGGTCGTCGTGAAAGTTGATAGAAGGCCATAAGAACATACCATATCGGGACGGAGGTGAAGCCGATGCAGTCGAAAGCGTCGGCAAACTTCTGAGTGTTCTCCATGAATGGTTGCATCTGAAAATACGTACACAAATAATTGTATCATGAATCATAAATGGCGGGATGTCATACACTCTAATTAACTGTATTCTATTGGTATATACGAGTACATACCATTATATCTGGGAAGGTGAGTGTTGCGTTCTCAGCCGCGTACACGAGCGGCTGCGGGCAGCTGTAAGCGCGGCCCAGCACCGCTGCAGGCGCTGCTGGCGGCGCAGGCGGCAGCAAGCCGATTCCAGCGCCCCGACCGCGCCTTACCTCCACACCCGCCGCAGTCCACCAGCCCGCCGACTGTTTGAAGCTGAACTCCAAAGTTATCTGGAAAAATAAGAAAAACCATTGAATCCTCCATCTTATCCTCTCATCGTATAAAGCGCAATACATGAAGGGTTTTTATGCACCGATAACTATTTAGTATTTCTGATTCTTCTATTATCGTGGGCACGGCAGGGGGAAATCGATTAATAAAAATTTAATAACGTCTAATTCAATATATCTGCCCGATAGGAAGCCCATGAAGGTACCGCTTATAATGGAGTATCAGACCTTATCCCTAGTGTTGTCGCCGTCGGCGAAGCGCACCACGAGGATGGTGTAGAGGCGCGTGGGCTTAATGGTGGGCTCGCCGATGGGCGTATCCAACACGGTGACGCTGCCGTCCGCCCATTGCAGCTCCGGCCAGCCCGACGAGTACAGCAGCGCCGCCTTGCCCGGCGGACCTGGCGATTCGCAAAATCTTCCATAACATACATCGCTTACAATTCTCGATAATACTAGTAGATTCAAATACAGCAAATGAATAAGCGTCACACAGACAATCGGGTACAGAAAGATTATTTTATGGCAAAGCTTACAGCTTCAAGTCTCTATATTAGTAAAACCAGCTCTCAAGACTCTTCTTGGAACTTGATATTTTACTCTCAAACCGATCCACTGCAAACATTTCCAAACGTATCTACCAGTAACATCTGGCGTAGTTAATGTAGTAATTAAAGCAAATTTGACCGTACCAGTGGCATTGTAGAGGGCGTACTTGGGCAGCACCTTCGCGGGCTTGTCGTCATCGACGGCCGCCGCAAGTTGCGTGGACCTAGGCGCATCCGTGACCTCGCGCTTCACCCGGCCTGCTTCGACCCACTCGCCCGGTTCCGTACCCTCAGGTCCCAGATACTCCGTCTGGCTCTGCGACACCGAATTGCCTGGAGCGGTGACAAGCCGATTAGATAATCATTGTAATAGTGTCATCTGATCGCGCCAGCTTATCGAGTAAATATTATTTATACACATTCATGTCTTCATATATCGAAAGATCTTGCGTGCAATGTTATTTTTTTATGTTAGTGAATGTTTCAGTAACATTGCTGAACATTCAGCATTCGCTTTGCACATAGTAAGTACAGTCGCAGTCGCTAGCGCAGCAGGAGAGTGCAGCGACCCAGCTGGCAAGGTGCCCGAGTGCCCGAGGGAGCGGCGTGTAGGTAGTTTACCCAGGACGCCGAGCACGCGACCCGGCCCGTATATGTCCTGCAACCGTGCGAACGTCTCTGTCATCTGAGCGTCGCGCTCCGACCACGGCCCTTGCAGCGTCAGCACCTGCAAACAACAAACATTGCGTTACCTCAAGTCGACCGAAATGTTTCCAATTATTTAAATATGTATGTAATTGATTTCATAGCGAGGAACTTCCATTTTCAACGATTACAGAACACGGAGTTGAAGTGAAGTTCAGCAGACGGTTGGGAAGCAAAAAAATTGTCACTATTTGAAAAGCTAATATCGTCATGTTGGCTGTTATTTTTCAACAGAAATATTTGCAATTCCATAAGTAAGTCATGATTCAGTAAGGCAATAACCGATCTAGCTCATTGCTGATTCTATGTACTAGTACATATCTAATGTATTTACTATTGAATTATCGTTTTATATAAATACAGAGCCATAGCAAAAGCGATCGCTAGATACCCCGCCCACAGATTTCCCATGCCCCTGCCCCTTCACGCCCCGCCCCCCTCGAATCTTCTTCGCCACCCTCTATCCCCCCATCCAATTACCCTCCGCTACCCTCCCCCCCCCCCCTCCCCCACCCCACCCCCTCCAATGTACGCGCAGTGGCGCGGGCTGGGTGCGGCTGGGGACAGTGCGGCTACCAACCCTCCTCCATCGCCCCCGAACCTCCCTCACCCACTCCCCTCTGTCTTTTTGAAACGCAAAAAGTGTAAATCAATATATGTTGCCTCGGTGACCTTTGAGAGAGGGATGAAGGGTAAAAATAGTATCAAGCCGAGGTGTTGTGATGTAATCAATTTTTTGGTACCTTTGGGAATAGTTACAACGAATGTGTCTGAAACATGTCGTCAATCTTTGATGTCATATTTTGCTTTGCATCAATAACCTTTTTATATCAGAGACCTGAACATTCATTGGATTTTATCTTTGTAAAATATGAGATTTTTTGATATGTTTTATACAAAGAGAATTAAATACATATTATGCACAGTTCTATGTATATCCTAAAATATCTTTGATGTTATGTGTACTAACTTACCTGTGTCTCATTGCTGACATAGTCGGGGTGTACGTCAAGGAAGTCTTGCGGCAACACCAACACGCTCTGCCGCTCCAGCATCTTCCTCAGGCGCGGAAAGTAACCGCTGGACAGCGGTACCGGGTCCTGGTTGTTGAAGACCACGATGGCCGCCTGCTCGCCGTAGATCCTCATCAGGTCATCCTGCTCCAGGTAGCGCAGCGCAGTCCGCTTGTACTTCTCCAGGGATCGCGGCCCGAAGAACAGGAACGGCCCCTCCAGGTTCCCCAGACACAGCCCCACGAGCCATGCCGCCAGGAGCGCTGCCGCCCCTGCATGCATGTCGCAGACGACTGTGGGCAGGGGATGCCCTGCGCCCCTTATAAACCCTACGTTCGGTTCCGTGTTGCGCATGCGTCAAAGAATTTATTGATTATTTTCAAAATACAACTAAAAACCTGTTTTAACCTGTCAAACATAGAATTCACTTTCAGATGATGATGTCTCAATTTCCTAGAGCCAGGTTTTGCCTAGGTCTCAAATGCGCAGGTTGAATGTCCTAGATACGTATTTTTATTTTAAATCGCATCCCACGCCCGGCAGCCGGGCGGCGGCGGCCATTAATCAATATCGTCGTCTGATGTTCCCCGGGAACGTTCCAGAACCTATTCCTTTGTTCTCACGTCGCCCCCCGCTCGCAGCTCACCACCCACCTCCACCACCTTCCACCATCTCCCGCCCACTCTCTAACGTCGTTTATAAAAACCATTTTCTTAGGAATTAGGCTCCTGATCGAGGCACTTGTTGCGTCCTGTTCGCTTGGTTCGGTTCTTTAACTGCTTACTTACATGATTTAATTAATGTTTTGTACTTTATTTGAAACCATAGTTATAGTTGTAAGTGAATAATCTGAATAATTTTGCATTTCCTTGTACATATTATGTAATTCAAATAAAACAACATTTTATAAACAAAATGATAATTTATTGTACAGCTTATTAAATTACATTTTTACAATAAGATTATTCTTTTATAAAATGAATTGTCTTATAATTAGAATGAAAGAGATAGCGAGCGCGAGTCCGGGGGGGAGGGCGAGGGGGTGGGGGGCGCGCACCCCACTCTGTCGCGACGAGAAGAAAGAGCTTTCTGTAAATTATAAATAAAATTGAGTTAACCGCGGCAGAGATCGCAGCAGCAGCAGCTGGTGCAATATCTCATAGAAGACAGGCGACACAGGGGTGAAGTTTCTCATTTTCCTTATATGGAAAGGATGGGAAGAGAAAGTTGATTTGGCAGAGGACTCACCTCCTCTGCCGAATCAACTTTCTATATACGTATAGGAAAGGAAAATATTTTTATTGAAACGTACTCCCCTTTTGTCTATTAGAGCTAGGCAGATGTACTCGTTGCATCCGTCTCTACGTTATTTAAGCAAAATCAGGAGCCGCTACCAGTTTGCCATCTTATACTAAAAAACTACTTAAAATGGATTCATTTACTTGCAAATATCATCGAGACATTTTCATATTTCATATGGAATTAAAATAATTGTGTTTGTGTTGTTATCTATGGATGACGTCATGTGATATTTCTACATATTGACAATGTAGAAGACATAGTTCAGTGTAAGAACAGAAGCAGAAACTAACTCTTCCTCTCGTTGGGGTCTGTGACGCCGCAGTGACGGTGCGAGGTGGTGCGCTTGCGCTTGCTGTTCACGTAGCCCGGGATGAAGATGCTGGGCGAGTCCAGTCGACCCGACGCCAGCAACCTGACACATCACGACAAATTATCATTAATATTGAAGAATTAACCTAATTGAAGTCCTCGTTCTTTTCTCACACTTTTAGATGGTTGACGGAAGAGGAATGTATTGTCTTTTCGTGCATGCCCTTCTCCGTCCATTAAAGGTAAGTAGCGCATTTGCAAATGTAGATGTCTATGGGCAGCGGTGGCCTCGACATGTCGCCGAACTCAGATGCCGACTCGCTCGTTTGCCACTTATTTGTTTAAAAGTAATCGCTACAATCGCCAAAGTGTGCACTCTGTACCAACGATAACAGATATGTTCAGTACATGAGGAGCGGCAGACCTGGTGAAGTCCAGCTCGAGCCTGTTGGCGTCGGGGCCGGTGAAGTGCAGCAGGACCTGGACGCAGGCGCCGTGGTGCAGCTCGCGCGTGCGCCGCGAGTCGACGCCCACCATCCACGCCGGCACGCCCATCACTCCGCGCATCTCCTCCAGGAACGCGCCCCTGACACACACAGCACACAACATGCACATCTCTCTGTCCACTGCCTCATGAAATGCATCCCACTCCCATCCCAGCTCGGGCTCTGTTCAGTTAATTTTTCTAAATCTTATGGGAGATTTATTGTTAGGCTAGCGTATGTAGTATAGTCATAGTGAAGACGATGAACGTACAAGACGAATCGCGGCGGCTTCATGATGTTGACGTATTTGATGATGTCCTTGTCGGGCTGGATGTTGGCGCAGGCGAAGCGCTCGCCGCTGCGCTCGGGGCCGAAGATGACGATGGAGCGGCCCATGGCGGACACCGCGCCCTCCAGCGGGAAGTTGCTGTCCATGAACATCTGCCGCTCGCCTCCTATTGCTGGGGACCGAGTGGCATTGCGTTACGCACTCAACTATTGAATGAGTTCCCGGAGGTAGAGGTAGAGGTAGAGGAAGAGGTAACATACTGAGGGTGCCGAGTCTTGCGGTGAGGTCGCCCACGTCGCAGCGCAGCGGGTTGTCCGCGCCGCACTCCGCCTCGTACAAGTCGTGCTGGAGAACAAACAGCAAAGCTTTAACACTGTGGTGATGAAACCGGTCGGATAGTTCGCGCAACTTGCGATCACTCACGTTAAGGGGATCCGCGAGCTGGGTGAAGTAGGGGTTCCACCTGTAGCCGCCGGCCACGCACCGCGTGTTGGTCACCTTCACCGCCGCGTCCACGCCCACCGGGTTCACGAAGATCTCCCACTTGTGGCCGTGTGTCTGCACAAAGCAATACGCAGGTTAGAACGCGAGCTTACTAGAGTAGCAGCAGGCGGCAGGCGGTGAATGTGCGAGTGACCAGGTTGCGGTCGCGGTCGCCGGGGTAGCGCAGGTCGACTTGTATGACGGTGTCGCTGACGCTGCCGTCGTTGTGGACGAGCTGGGTGAGACGCACGAAGCCGCGCGCGAACCCTCCCGGGTGGTGGAAGGAGGCGATGCCGCGGATCTCCCGCGCCTCCGAGGGGCTGTAGCCGCGCTCCACGCTCGAGCACGCCGACCTGCGGTTCTTGCTCTACGACAAAAGGGAAAACCTTTCATTGTATCGCTCCACTGTATAGAGAGACGACTCCACATGGACCTCCCGAAAGCATGGCTTTACATTTTGGTGTATAACGACGGAGCGCCCGAGGATGCTGTAGGGACCGAACAGCGACATCTGCGTCTCGTTAAAAATCGCGTTGAACGACTTGAAGTCATCCAGCAAGCCGTACTTGTCACCGAAGTCACCGAGCTCGTACTGGTCTGCTGTACCTGGAAAAGTGAAAAATTAAAAAATATATAATAATCAAATCAAACGACAAAGGTTTCCAATCGGTTTAAGTGTTTGACGATAGATTTTATTTCGTTTCTTGAACACATAAGTAAGATAGGTACCTCTCATGGGCGGCGGACTGAGCGACTTGTTCACGTGGAAGGGGTTGTACGCGTCGTAGAGCGTGGTCCTCTCGCACGGGAACTCCAGCTCCTTCTCCACCGGCACCTGCAACGCGACCGGTCAGAACGCACACGAGCTGGACGCGAGGTGCTGCGGCGTGACGCTCACCTCGTGCAGCACGTAGTTGTGTGCGTCGCGCAGACCTGACAGCTGCACCTGCACGTTGGTGACGTCGTACTCGGACTGCTGCACCAGCTCCAGGCGGCCGGTGGGCGCCTCGCGCTGCCCGTTGCCGAACCAGTCGCGCACCACCGCCTTGCGCCGGTGCAGACCGTTGATTCTGGAACGTCGACCGCACTCTTATTACTGAAATTTGTTCCGATCGGGCATCTATAATTTTGGTTGCGGTAATACCGACAAGGAGCAAGCCATTCTCTCTCCGCGGGCGACGGGGCCGTGGTCGTCGTAGATCACCAGCGACCTCCGCAGCACCGAGTTCCTCCCCATCAGCGGCAGCGACGTATCCGTGAACAGCTTGCGCGTCAACCGCGCGCTGTCGCGCTTCTTGCCCGCCACCGCCAGCGTGCCGTGCCTGGATTTATTACATTACAATTTACCTTAAACCTATTAAGATATTATGCAATGAGAAGCGGCAAGTATTTCGTTGTGAAGCGTCCGCCGGTTACCTGGTGGTGAGGTCCCCGATCCTGCAGAGCGCGAGGTCGGGGCGGCAGTAGGTGTCGGGGTGGCGCGTGTCGAGGTCGAGGGCGGCGGGGTCGAAGATGTCTCCGGCGCTGAGACAGCGGCTCGTCCAGTTGTAGTAGTCCTTGCCGGGCGGCTGATCGTGCACCGCCCACCGGTGCTCAAACGTGTTGTTCACGTTCGAACCGTCCGCGTGCACCTGCCAGCACAGCACAGCACACCACAGCACATACATACAGCTCGACAACTTATTCACTGGTAAACCAACACGATATGACGTTTTTGACTGCATCTTCTAATTTTGCTATTGTTAGTTTACATGTCATACCATATCTTCGATGATGATGGTGGTATCCTCCCAGGGCCTGTCCTGCGGCTGTCGGAATATGACGCGGCCGACGAGAGGGTAGCGGAAGATGACCTGGGCCGAAGTCATCGGCGTCTGGTACTCGGTGTTGTCCTCGTACGACAGCAGCGTGCCGCACACCTCCGGCTTTGGCGATCGTCTGCGACGTTGTGCTAACTTGAGTACATTCGATACAAGAGAGTACTATTAAGGAAGATATTTGTAGAGAGGAAGTTACCTCTCGAGCACGAGCGGCCTGTGCATGACGCTGTGGCGGCCGTAGAGCGGCAGGTAGACGTCCCAGTAGGCGCCGCTCAGCTCGTCGGCCAGCCCGGGCAGCAGGTAGCGGTGGTTCAGGTACTCCGTGCGCTCCTTGTACTTGCCTAGCAGCGCCCCAACTGGGTACTGATCCATCGTGCCCATGCCTGCAACATACAACATACCTTCGTAAATCAAACTTATATACGAGATTACAATAAAAATTTAAAAACACTCTACTATAATGTCGTAAAATCCTTTCCTTTCCTTTCCTTGTTATTTCTTATCCTATAATTCATAAGATATCTTTTAACTAAATATTAAATTAAATACAAAAAAATAATAAATTAGTTCATAAATAAACCACATTTAATATCTTCAAAGCTTTCAATTAATAACATGGACCTCTGGAGTTGAAACTCCACAAATCGTCATAGTTGAACATGATGGTGACCTATCTCTATCCGTCCCAGTAAGATACGAGTCAGTGTTTGTTTTTCCTATAATCTAAAACAATGTAATTGTGTCAATATAACATGAATGCAGGCAAATTGACGTCACCGATTATCTAAACAATAACAAATTCCATACAATGCATCGGTGACGTGCGACAACTTCCTGCCCGCATCATGCGAGATGACCGAATGCATCATTGTTGCCGCGAGCCACAACATCTGCCGCTCTACCGAGAAGTCAGGAAGCGCTACTGACCAACGAGGCAGCGCTTAACTCGCCCTTATTCAGAATCAATACGACACGATCGCTAAATAATTGTGGTAAATTTCCGTTCCGCATAGTTTAAGAATTGTAACACAGAACACAACTAAGTTAAATATAGCAATGCATAGCGCTGAAAATAGTTATACCGTTGTGTTCACTTTACATACTATCACATAACACATATATTTTACATTTTCTTGTTTTTTAGTTTGAACTTAAACATCGTAAATTCTATTTAAAATAGTTTGTTTGTTATTTTTAATTTAAGCAATAATTTGTAATATTTACAAATAGTGTAATGCTAACATAAGATGATAATTTAGCGCTCGACATAACACATGGTCCCAATAATATTTCACACTTTATACTACACAAGATACTAAAACATTTATACACGAACCTGGCGGAGGCACATCGTTCAGATTAATGCCGGTGGGGTTGTACAGTTCTCCAGTCGTGTTGCACATGGATTGTACGAGGTCGGGGCCGAGTAGACGCGCCGGCACCTGCCGAATGTTATACTGCTGCATGGCGCCCACAAACCGTAGGTTGGACTCGTACTCCTGGTCCGCCGCGCCCAGCTGGAAGTTCACCCACGTCGGGTCGAACGGCGACCGCTGCACGAAGTCCACCGTGCCCCGGATGCCGTCCATATTGATCAATGCCCTACGCCCAGAGTTATATTGGTGTGATTGATTTCGAACATTGGTGAAATTGACAAAAAGTAACCAGGACTTAAAGAAAATACTTAAATATGAGGTAATACATATCGTGACACAAATATAATCTGAAATATTGAAAGCTGTTAGTGCTTATCGATTTTTAGGTATGAATTGTAGTACTCACTTGGCATTCTTGGGCTGGCTGGAACGCAGCTTGGCGCAGGCGAGAAAGCTGTCGGCGTGCCGGTTGTCATAAATGACGACGTAGAGGCTACGGCGCGTCACCTCCATGTCTGCGCGCAGGAGGCCCAGCACCTCGTCCTTGTAAAGCCGCCGCAGTCGGTGCGTGCTCGGGTCTGTCGCCACCCGAATGAGGCCCAGGCGCGAGTCCAGGTCGCCCACACTCATCCCGTCCCCGCTGTTCTCGGGGTCGAACACTGCCTGCAGGACGTTACAGTTGTCCTCGTAATTGCCCTTGTCCGAATCAAATATGTCCGTCACAAACAGTTTCCACTTGTGTTGAGTAAATTCCCCCTTGTCCTGGTTGGCCTTCGTGTGATACAGGTCAGCGAGGAGGAACGCGTCCGACTCGTCGAAGTCCCTCGTGTACAGCCAGCGGAAGGTGAGGCTCCCTGCGATGGGAGACGTAAATCTCGCCTCAGCATATTTCTCGTAAAGTTTCTCCGTCGATAGAATAGATGCACACACCACTCTGTCTCTCTCCGCCGTCTCTAACACTATACTCTTCCCCCACAAGCCCAGAGGACCGGTCAGGCTGTTCTTGCTCTCGAACTCGGCGTGATCTTTGCCAGGAATAATCAGGTATCCCAGCTCCTCGGTGAGATCTATGACTTCTGTGCCTAGACTGGCATCGGAGCACCTCTCGTCGCTGAGGTCCTGGTAATCGACGGGGAACTCGTGTATGGTCCACCGCCAGACGCCGTCGGGGTGCTGCAGCGTCGGCTTTAGGTTGGTGCGGATGCTGATGAGCGTGTCATTTTTGTTAGAGAACTCGATCTCGCCATGCAGCCCGTGCTGCGAGATGTACGCGCGCAGCACTAGACACTTGCATTCTGTAACACACATTTTTTACTGAGTTATCAAATATAATACCGTCTAAGACTATATGGAGAGTCAGTATTCATATAACACTCCACAGCCGGATACTAGTCACCTATCCAAACTAATTTACCTTGTCGATAGATTACCAATTTTCAATTGAATTCAACTCATTTTGTACTTACATGTTAATCCAGATATAATGAACTATCAACACACTTGTGGTTACCTCCTACTAAGGCCAATGTGAGGAAAATCCTATGCATCGTGTCAGTTTAGTATATAAAAAACACCAGCCGTAAACTCCTCGAAGGCGTACTACAAAGATGAATTCATACTTGTACTTAACGTCAGGTAATCAAGTGTCGAGGAACCTCCTCCGGCGTTGTTTGACGCAGATAAATGAATTAGCGCTAATGTGACAAACGTAAAATTGTATAGTGATGTTGCAAAAACTTTGAAAAGTATCGTAACCGACTACGTGATATACAAATAAAATACAAGTAGAAGCTATCAGTAAATAGTTTGCTTTTTAAGTCATATATCTCGAGAATTGTTCAGGTCATTTCATACTTTACATCATCAGAAGAGCATTACATCCAATATTGGGACCAATGTATCCAACACGTGTATATACAGTTTTATTGTCAAAACATATGAAATGTGCCTTTTTAACGTTGGCTTATATCAGGAAGTAATTAAAACTGACTTGGCTTCTGGTATAGGTGATGTCTGGCTGTTACCTGCCTGCCTTATCCTGTCACGTTATCACATTTACGTTTCGAAATAATCCGCATAATATGACATTTATTATGAAAATAAAACTTTAGCGATTAGTTAGCTTTAATTGTTTCATTGTTTTCATCAGACGAAGCTTTTGATTTGTACCTTTTATAGTCTGTTACTTTTCTCACATCATATTATTTCGATTCTTGTCATTAAAGATAAATTTTCCTTTGATTCGACAAATAAGAAACCCATTCGAAGGTTATTTTAAAAAGGGAAACTTGCACCGAATTACTTTACCTTCAAGTAGAACCACTGAAATAACTAAACTAATCAACTTTGGCACCACATCACAATATTTGATAAACATTTTCACAGGTAATACAACGTTACATGTTTATCAACAGAATATGTTCCTCTCTGATGGCCTGCGCCCGCGCATTGTCGAGATGTCGAGTTTCACTTGCCCACTTGCCGTCTGCCGTCTCATGACTAAGTGAAAGGCTTCATACAACTTAACGAGCGAGACATTAAGGCTAGAGCGAGATGGAAAACATCACATAGTATGTGACGTTTCGTTATGAATTACGATGTAGTACGCTTGAGTCAGATAACTGTTAATTACTTATTCTTCAGTTAAATATTTGTTACTGGCATTTGATCTGATGACTTATCATTGTTTCCTGACACTCCTCTTTGTTATTATTTGTGTGTGATGTTCTACACAACAACATAGATGTAGAGACAGGTAGGAGATATTGCTATCACTGGATTCGAATTATATTTGATGTGATGCTTCCATAGCGTTTAAGTTTATAGCAAAAATAAGCTAAGTCATATTGAACTTTCTCTTTGAGAATATTTCTCCATTGCAGTCTTTTAACAAAAGCAGTCCGTAATACCAAAACCTTCCTTTTTCCTACCTTCTTTACACATTGGCGTATTCAGTTATCTTTTACCATTATACAGGAAAATATCTTTCGTAATAAAACCAATACATTTTTGTCCATCCCAATTCTAAATTATAATATGTTTTCAACAAATAATTGGTTTTTTTATTATACATTAGCGAATGTCGAGATGTTTATCTCGGGAATCGAATCCGGGTATGATTGGTGTGGATTACAATGGTATATTTGTGTGCGATTTGAGTCACCGCGACTAAAATAGTTCGCAGCGCGGTGACTGCGCGGGCGGTGACGAAGTATGTTATATCTGACGTCAGTAATAATGTTCGAATACCAAACCAAAAAGCAAGCATTCAAGGCAGCATTGTATTGTAGGGTAGGTAAAGTGAGCAAGGGTGTCAGAAAATCGCATCTTAATCTGGACAAAAACCTTGGTTAAAATAACAGATGGACATGGTTGCCTAAAGGGGAAGGTAATGCTCGGCTACAATCTGAACTAAGGTGGACGGTGAAAAACATGATTTACTATCTTACCGTATGGTATTTTAAGTACTATGATTTTTAGCAACTATAACATGTTAATCCTGTCCGAAATCGTCCCGATTTTGCAAAAACACTCGCATCAAGTTGCAACTGTTGATATTTTTAATCCTACAAAACAGGCAGCGGTTGTTTAGTTTAATATATTAAAGAAGTTAAAGTGGACCCAGATTGTCGTGTCAGAAAGTTTGTGAAAAGCTACAAAACTAACAAAATTTCATCCGGTAACATCTCAGTACTCCATTTATTTTGAATTGCTAATTTCTATTTCAATCTCGCGACAATGAAAGCCAAACTGTATCTAGCTTGTTGAAAATAGTAAAAGTAATACAATAAGAAATAGATCGTAACATTCCTGTAAATTTAGACTAAAAACTGTCGATATCCCTGAGTCACCAGGTGAGCTGTATATTTTTAAATCGTCCAAGTCGCGGAAGGCGGCGGCCGAACGCGCGAGCGGACCAAACAGTTCTGATGCCGATTCGGGCGCCGGCTATCGCATTGACCTAACTATATATGGATTGATCGGCCGGACTCCCAGCCGCGGGGAGCGGGGAGGGGGCGCGAGAGGCCTGGACGTCGAGGAGTGAACAAAATCTCGGAGTCAGGGTGAGACTGCCGAGCGGTACAGTCTCTCTATCGTCGATCCAACAAACAACACAATGGTAAGTGAGGCGAACACCAGTGAACTTAGTGATGTGATAAGTGTTCTGTTGAAGTTAATTAAGTGAACATGTGTGACCTAAACATGCCGGCGACTACGAAACACACCATAAACACAAAATACAAATGTGAAAGTAATTAATACGGTCTTTAAACTCAATTGAATAAAATAAACCAACAAATGCAATAATTTGATAAAATCAAGCAACAAACTACGACGCCAAATAAACCAAACAAAATTTTACCAAACACGAATTACATAAAATTTCGCCAATAAAAACCATCTAAAATAGTTCTAAACATTTTGGATTGCGAATAAAATAATTTGTTACACGAACGCAAAACGTTTTTAAAATATTAGAGTTAAAGGACTAACTGCTATACTCAAAGAGGTTCGATACACAGAGAAGTTACTGAAGAAGTCCTTAGTTTAGTTTTATTAAATTAAACCAATACTAAGACACTCCTTCACCCACCACAAGCGCTTCTGAAGGAGGTAGAAAGTCTTCAGCCAGTAGTTTAATATAATATAATTTAAAATAAATATAATTTCTTAATATAATTAGGAATAATAAGAAATATGATAAAAGCTGAAGCAGCGAGCTATGTATTTCTGAATCTTTACGTAACCGGCGCCCGCGCGCAATCCGAGACGCCATGCTAAATATAAGTGGACAGAAATAGCACCTAAACGGGACGGGCGGGGTACAATTATATTATATTCTGACAATTTGACAAAATTTATTTAGCATTGGATTAAATGCATTGTAAATATTTGAAATTAGTCGAAGCACAATATATTCCAAGGAAATAATAGGCATTCACAGAAAATGATTATTTAAACGTCTAGCGAATAGCTTCAAGTAACCAAAAATAACTTGATTCACATTAATTCTATAGTATACGTATTGAAAGAAATTGTAATTAATACAAGCATTTTAAGATGACAGTTTTAGTTGCACGATTTTAAATTAAATCGAAAGTCACGTTTCAAAGATTTCGGAACACCGAACATAATGCTGCTGGAAAAATTTGATAAAACTCACCTTTAAACACAACACTAACAGCACACAACAATAATTTGCACATGAAAAATATTTATCGGTTCTTTAACATAGTTGTCCCTGTTGACACTTGGCTAATGAAATTCTTTTGGTGCAGGCGGATAAGGACAAGAAGGTAAAGAAGAAGAAGGCGCCGAAGGAAGAGGCACCCGCAGAAGAGGCAGCTGCGCCCGCGGCGCCCGCTGGCGAGCGCCAGTCGTCGCGCGGTAGCCGCAAGGCCAAGCGCACCGGCTCCAATGTCTTCTCCATGTTCTCACAGAAACAGGTCGCCGAGTTCAAAGAAGTAAGCATGTCTACTACCTACTCCATAATCCTTCAGCCAAACAACTTGGTAAAGCTGCAATTCGATGTCGATCTTCATGACGTGTCGATTCGTTGCACTAGTAAGAGTTGCAAGAACCAAAGGGCATTTTTAGCTAAGATTAAATTTTACCAGATTAAATAAATCATTGCTCTCCTCCCACAGGCCTTCCAGCTGATGGATCACGACAAGGACGGTATCATCGGCAAGAACGATCTCCGCGCCACCTTCGACTCGCTCGGCAGGCTGGCGACGGAAAAGGAGCTCGATGACATGGTCAGCGAGGCATCCGGCCCCATCAACTTCACGCAGCTGCTCACCCTCTTCGCCAACCGCATGTCCGGTGGCTCTGACGACGACGACGTCGTTATCAACGCCTTCAAGACCTTCGACACCGAGGGCAAGATCGACTCGGAGCGACTTAGGCACGCGCTTATGACCTGGGGTGATAAGTTCTCCGCCGACGAAGTCGACGAGGCCTACGACCAGATGGAGATTGACGATAAGGGCTTCATCGACACCCAGAAGCTGATCACCATGCTCACCGCCAGCGCCGAGGACGAGGAGGGCGGTGAGGCTGCGTGAGCACCCCCCAGCTGCACCACCACCCGGCACCAACACCTAACCGCTGACGACAGCTCTGACAGTCCACCCGGTCCACTCGGTTCGCACAGAACGTATTAAATGTAGACCGAACCGAAACATGTTTTTATTTAATTTAATATCTTTATGTAATTTATTGTTTCCATTTTATAATTTATATTTTAATGAAAATATAGTACTACTATAACAAAATGGTGTCATCATGTCCCCGTAACGTAAGACTGGAGGGATTGAAGGAATAGACTGCATTTATACACTGTCACACAAACACACACTCAAATCACGCATCCCATTCAATTTGCTAGAATAACTTGGGTAAACACGGCCTATTATTATATTACATGTCGAAATATATACATGGGAAAACCAGAAACAAGGAAATAAATGTTAATCTAAAGTGCTACTCATGCAGTTGGTAATTGTCCTAATTTGTCGACAATTATAGATAAGTTAAATAAGTATAGGTAAATAAAGACGAAAATACAACACAATGTAACTAAAAGCCTTACGTTATTTTAGAATTCCTTATAAAAAATATCAACAATGATAACGATTAACCTAGAGTAGTAAGTGTAACCCGTTAATACTATCGGTCAGTATGATAAGTTAGCACTATAAATAATAATAAGTAATCCCACATGTTTTGCGGATGTGCGTAATTTAAAAACTTACATATATTTACAATCTAAAAAAAACTAAAGACCACAAATGCCTCACCACCACTAAACTAAACTAAACTAAGTACACAAAGCACTTTCCTAAACAACAACCATTCTCTCAAGGATTCGTAAAATGCGTGATATTATTATAAACAAAGATCGTCTTTAACTCCTTCCAAAAATGGTGTTCAACGCTTTTCATATGAAAAAACTGATCTAAAATTACCATATCCGGCTATAGCCACTGTCCAAAATACCACTCTGATGGGATTTCTGATGACTAAAGAAAAAATTTTAAATTTCAAAACTATTCGATTATGTAAACGAAATTGTCAGCGCTGCCCTCGCCCAGTCTACAAATGTGCCTCAACATTTTAATCAGTTTCAGAAAATTGGAACGGAATTTTTATTTAACAGAGGTAGAGCTTTCGTCTGCTGGATCACGAATGGCCTGCTTCACAAATTAAACATCACGACCACGCAGAAGACAGGCGTGAAGTGGAAGAAATTAAGTATTTGGTCCGATACGTTAATATATCCTTAATATGTCCTATAGGACTAGGATTTTACCTCCGGCACATTATTCCCTTCGCGCCCTTTTCTTATAAAGAGAGGATGGAAAGAGGGTGTACAGTTGGCGGAGGAGTGGACGTCCATTCCCATCCTATGTTGAGGTAGGCAACATATTTTCAAATCCCATGGATAACGGTCAATTGGCTTGGTGAAATCAGGTATGCTTCCTCAAATTTTAAAAAATTCGTATATACAACGTTGAATTGACATCGACAAGCGATAGATCTACTAAGCTAAGACTAGCTTATACATGAGCTAGACGCGGTACAAATCCTATCCTTCCTTAGGTTCCCAAATAATATGGGGGACGGCGCGTACGCAGTCCCCACTATCAAAAATTACGCGTCCGAGTTATCCGCATTAGGGATAATCGCAGGGGTCAACCCAACCGCAGTGCAATGGAGGGGCCTCGCCCTGGGGGAACCGCCTTCGTGATCACGGTAGCCCCTACGCCAGGTAAGTATGCCTCGTTTGCATTTCGCCGTGGAGGTCATTTACGAGACAACAATCTAAACATCGCGATTTGTAATTGCAGAGTTTTTTTGCAGCGCCATCTATGGTATCAAGGCGACTGTTTAAAAAAAAATAGTTTACCGCCATCTAGTATAAAATTTGTATCTTAAGATAACCTCTGTGGTACTTAATCTGTCAGCTGACAGTGTCAATGTCAGTTGTTAACTGTTGACATGTTTATACAACAACAGTGGGTGTTTTACCTGTTTTGTCTTCTATGTTTCTCAAAATGACTACAGAACGGACAGAAACAATTGTACATAATGCAACGAAAACATTCAAGTTCTCTTTCCCAACCTGCACCAATGAAGAATTACTATTCAAACTGGAAGTACCGGTTGAGATCCCTTACGATGGATCTCCGCGCGAGCTGGTACAGCGCGTTATAAATATGTTTCACATACCCGTATATTTAGAAGATGGTAAGTTAACTGCCGCTGTATAAATGATTGTATGAAAGATGAAATAAAACTGTAAAATACTTTGTTTAGAGTTAAATGAAAAACTGGCTCAGTTCATCGGCGATGAGACGCGCGAGTTCCACAACAGTCGGGACGCGAAGCTGCTCGACCAGCTAAAGAACAGCGAGCTGAATGTGGACGGCATCGTCAAGCAGTGGGAGAAACTCTTCAAAGAGAATGTGGTGGAATTTGCTGAACAGAAGGGAACTTCGGATGAGGAGGTATATGTTTTCAAACATTTGTTTAACTTTTAAATGTAAGATTTGTTTCTTACTAATATTATAGTATGGATCTATATATTAATATAATTAACAAGGATGCGGCAACAACCTAGTGGGCCTCGGTCTCCAACAATTAAAGTATCCACTTCTTCTGATCCTGCGCCGTCCCAACCCAGTCCTGGTAATGTAGCTCCAGGAGATCTTTATCCATCTCATCCATACAGCGATATTTATATATAATATAACTTACTTCAATTATTCTCCTTTGTTAATAAAGTCCAATTAGTAGTTATTACATATCTGTCAATGTATGTTTTAGGTTTTTGCTGCAGCATACCACAAGTTAGTCCACTCACCTGCATTGGACACCATCCTGCAGGTGGAGAACTCTTATGCCAAAACTGTCTCCAACATGATGCAGAGCCGCGATGAGGACATCAACAAACTTACAGAAAGGTAGAAATAGTTATTGAAATGGTCAAGTATTTCCTGCTGTCCTCAATGTCACCGAAAAACTCTTAAACATTTAATTATTTTTTTGTGTTTTAATGTTTAGGACCCTAATTATTTATGTTAATATGATAACAACCTGTAGATAGATAAGTAAGTTAGTTAATATTATTCATCTTATAACAATATTTTAAACTAGACAAACAGAGGAGATGGAAGAGAAGATGCGGCTGCTGAACGTGAGCACTACGGAGGAGGAGATCAACGAGACGGCTGCGCGGCAGTTCGAGGCTCAGAGCGTGGCGGCGGCGCGCTGGGAGTCGCAGCTGGACGCGCTCCGGCACACGCAGCGCGCCGCACACCGCGCCTGGCTCATGGCCGCGCTCGACCACTACCAGGGCCAGGCAGAACTCGCCACGCCCAGGTCTGAAATGTTACAGACCTCTCAACTTCATTTAGATTATATGGTCATCGAGAATGTCATTGTTTACTGTTATATTACAGCAACTCCCCGCTGACGACGTTCCCACCGGAGGCGGGAGAATTGGTCGGGTCCGGCGGGCTGGGAGAGCCGCGCCCTCAGCTCGAGGAGAGCTTCACCATACACCTGGGCAGCCAGCTGAAGCAGACTCACAACATCCGCCTCGTGGCCGCCGACATGCTCGACCTCTGCGCACTCAACCACCACGACAAGTAAGTCATTTTGTAGCATCACAATATGTTTTGAATCTTGTCGATTCTATCGATGAATTGAGTAGAATAAGTGTGCGTGTTATGTTTAAAATGTACCGCGCGGTGCAGCGGCGCGGCGGCGCGGCTGCAGCCCGCGCTGGCGCTGTACTCGGGCGAGCTGACAGGCGCGGTGGTGCTGTGCGAGGCGGGACCGGCGGGCACGGGGGAGCCGCCGCAGCGCCTGCTGCGCCTGGCCGCCGCCGCCACCGAGCACCACTTCGACGACATCAACCGACAGCTGCGGCACATCGCGGAAGCAATACGCGCGCCTGTAACTACATTAACCAACCTAGTGCCTTCCACCACGACATGGATGAACAACACCCGTTTGTGTGTGATGTCCGGCAGGCGGAGCAGCGCAACGCCCGGCGCGCGCAGCAGGCGGGGGGCGCGGCGGGCGCGGCGGGCGCGACGG